GGGGGGGGGGAGAGAGAGAGGCCTCCCCGGGGCAACTCAGTAGTCTATAGCAGTAATGCGACCCTTTGCCTGGTTTACAACTACCAGCTGCTGTGACCCTCTTTTGTCTTATCGTTGTTTCAAAAAGACCGGTGTGTGCTCTTGTTCGCCGCCAGTACTCACAGCGCAAATAGCCAGGACACGCGATGGTGCCAACAGCGCAAGGACGCGCACGAAGCTGCTTCGAGGGGTACGTGCAATGTTTGGTGTCATACATAACGAGAGCAGTTCGTCTAGATTTTAGAAGTCGCGCTTATCAACAACATCGTCAATAAGAGTACATCTGCACACCATGCCTCCAGTGCTTCTCTCCCTGCCCCTGACACGTAAATCAGAAGCTCAGAGTCGAGCAAGGTCACAATACGAGCAACGATGCCCTCTCGGAGCAGCCATCGAGGTCAAAGAGAGGCGTACTGCTGTTGTCTACACGTGTATGCCGTCCACCTCGCTGCGCGCGCGCCGAGTGGCCGAGGTCTTGTGAGCCTCGCTGGGCCTCCATGAACTCCTTGGTGCAACGACGGGAGGTGTCGCCGCTGCTGCCGCTTTCGCCGCACCATTGTCCACTGTAGCCCCCCCCACGAAGCTGCTGCTGCTGCTGCTGCTGCTGCTGCTGCTGCTGGTTGATGTCGCAGCCGAACCAGCAGGCGGCGGAACTTCCCCCGCTGCCGTTGTTGTTCCTGTCGAATTGCTGCTGCCACTCAAAGATCGCTGGCACTGCTGCGCTTTCCATGCCTGTCCAAGCCTCCTCCCCCGTATCATCGTCGTCGGAGTGCACCAAGAGACGAAGAGCAGCAGCAGCGGCAGCAGCAGCAGGGACCGAGTGGTGACAGACTACACTAACGTTTCGTTCCATGGCGTTTCCGGGTGGGGGAGACGCGGAATGAAATAGACGGGGCGGGTACAAAATCGTTTTTTGGATACTGGTCACTGCACCGCATACCGCAGATCATCATGCGTGTCATCCGTCACTCGACTTCGCTGTGCGGCTAAATGCGGGTTGTAGGACCAGCCGCCGCCTTTGGCGCGTTCGGGCTCGATCTCTTGGCTACCGTCTCATCGGCGGTAGGCTCTCCAACCGTGGGGGCATCGAGCGTGGACGTGAAAGAAGCAGAGGAGTATCGGCATCATTATCACCAGTTGCCAGCAGATGCGGCGGCGGCGGCGGCTTCGGCAACAACGGCGGATAGGAGGCATTTCGCCGCACGCGCCTTGGATGCCGCGAAGCAAGGCATCGACGGAGGTGCATCGACGCAGCACCAGCACGGCAGGGCGTCGCCGGCCTCTGTGGCTGCTGCCCAGCCGTCGAGGAGAGCCTACGCCACCCTGCTGTACAGCGATTTCATCGAGGGGACGCGCGCCCTCGGCCAGAGCCTGCGGGAGAGCGGGACGAGCGCGGACACCGTTGTCTTGGTGACCCCGGACGTGCGGCGAGAGACGAGGCAAAAACTCGCCGAGGACGGCTGGATGTGAGCGTGGGGTTCAACGCAGGAGCTTGTTTGGGTTGCGTTTGTAAGAGAGTGTCTCCGAGCGACGGCAAAAAATGATTCTAGAAAATTGTTCTTTCTCCCGCACGTCTCTCTCTCTCGCTGGTCGCTACAACACAGACGATGGAGTTTGAAATACGATCAACACACGTGGATGCAGTAACAACAGCCTTGCAGGCAGGAGCTTGGAGGAGGGACGCATGTTTTGCTGTGTTCACGAGCATCCTGGCAACGTGTGTTTTGTGTGTATTCTGCGGCCATCAACACATGTCCGGAAAATACCCTGTTTCGACCAGAGGCAGCGAACAGCCCCCATCCTCAAAGGTGTACATTTTCCACCCCTCCCCCCCCAAAAGAAAAATGTCACCGAGTGTAGTCTCTCCTTGCACATCTTTCGCTAAACGACGTCTGTACCCGTCCACGCCTCGAACAAACAACAGCGTTCGACCCGTGGCGGTCGAGAGGAACCCCAACCAGAACTTCCAGTCCCGCCTGGTGTTTGTGTACACCAAGCTCCTCATCGTGGAGATGGAGGAGGAGTACGACCGCATAGTCTTCCTTGACGCGGACACCCTCGTGCTCGAGAACATCGACGAGCTCTTCGAGTGCGAGCCGTTCTGCGCCGTGATGCGCCACTCCGAGCTGCTCAACTCGGGCGTTCTGGTCATCACTCCCAGCAAGGAGCTGTACGGCCACATGCACGATCTTATCGGGGAGCTAGACTCCTACACGGGAGGGTGAGTCTTGAGAACATGCATCCGCCTCGAGCAAGCACTGCCGTCGAAGGTCAAAGTTAGTTCATGCAATGCACTGCCTGAGAGGTTAATGCTAGTTAGCGCATGTGACGTCCGATTGGGGCGCAAGCGTGCTTGGTACTCTTACTCCTCAAGGCATTCTTTGCCTGGGCCTCAGACCCGCGTAAATGGAAGAATTGACGCTACGTATGTGTTGCTTAGGCGGCGTTGATACCGCGTGTGGGCCACCTGCCATACTCGCAACTTGCTGCGCTGGCGATGCCCGACTTCGGTCTTGTAAGCAGGGTGAGGCTTTGCCCCGCACAATTTATGGCCTTCCATGAAAGCCATGGTAGGTCGTGTGAAAGGTCGTGCTACCAATGTTTTTGTCGCGCCACTGACAAGATCTCCCCTGCCCCCCCCCTCATTCCTCCCGCGCGCTCCCTCAAAAACACTCGTATTGTGCGATCCCACGTGAACCTTCTTCGCGACCTCGAAACCACAACAACTAAAACAAAAATAATGCTGCAGCGACCAGGGGTTCTTGAACTCCTTCTACCCGTACTTCGCGGCCTGTCCGGCGTTCGAGCCATATCCCATCCTCGGGTCACGTCTCGCTGGAGTCGGCTCTGGTATGGAAGAAGTCAATGGCCGGGGTGGCGGCGGGGGCCGAAGAAGAGTATTAGGAGGAGACCGAGAGTTGGATAGCGTACTTGTGGAGGGGCGGGGGGTCGAAGACAAGGGTAGGGGAGAGAGGCAGGCGGTGGCGATGCAGGGGGAAGGGGGAACGCGGCGGCGGAGACTAGCGGGCGAGGGGGCGGAGTGGGTTCGGCCTAAGGGCTGGGGCTGCAAGAGACTTCCCACGAGGTACAACGGCGACTGGCCTCTGCTGTTCGTGGATGGGGACTTGCAGGTGGTGCAGGGGAAGGAGGCCGGGCCAGAGGCGCCGGCGGACTGGAAGCGGCGCAAGAAGGTCAAGATCTTGCACTTCACGTTCGGGACGGCCAAGCCCTGGTGAGAGGAGGGTGTGTGTGGGAGGAAAGAGCCGGCGAGCTGGGAGGGAGGATTGGAACGGCGGAGGTGTTTACACGAAAGTGTAGTTCCATGGGATGCGTTGGGTGTACTGCCGTGGGATATGTTGCTAGTGTTGCCTTTTCCTTTCGGCTGACTCTTGTAGTGTGGATCGTTCCTCCTCTGCGTGATATGTAGGGAGGGGCTTGAATGGCATCCCCTGTATCTGTTGGTGAGGGATGGAGGACCGTTGAGCCTTCTTGCCAGGGCACGTAGTCCTTCCTCGCTAGTTTGGCTCCAACCTAGGCCCGAAACTCTTTCACCTTTGTGCTACAGTTCTCCCAGTACAAAATAGAAGCAAGCGGCATGTCGCAGAGACGGTGCCCCCCTCCCATGCGCCCAACGCCCCATTGCTGTGTAGTGTTGTTTGTGATCTGGCGGAAGTTCTTGGCTGCGCATTCGCTGGCCTTGTGAAAACCTAGCCTACTGCTGTGGCCGTTCACGTGTCGTTCAGACGATCACAAGATCCTACCCCGCCCCATCCCCGTGAAGGAAAGGCGCCTGGAAACGCCGCTGTCGTTTCTACGGGGGCGTGTCGTATCCAATCCAATCTTGTCGTTTGTGCTGTGGCGCACCGTGCTGTTTTCTTTCCGCGCTCGTGTTGCACCCTTCTTGTTCTTCTTGAACAAAGCGAGTCATAAGGCGAAACACGACGGTACAAATAGTATAACTTCTGCAGCGGGTCTTGTGGGCTGACCCCCCCCCCCCCCCCCCCCCCCCCCCCCCCCCCCCCCCCCCCCCCCCCCCCCCCCCCCCCCCCC